CCTTTCTTCTGATCCTTTCATATCACACTCCACAACATCCATTTATATGTTTTTGTTATTCAGATAATTATATATGAACATCTCTACATAATTAAAAATATTATAACACAACTTCCTCGAAATCATCTAGTAATATATGTTGGTTATCGACATTACTCTTTACCCAAAACCTTAAGGCAATGGGTTGATGGGTCTTTCATCTTTATATAATACTCTACTTTCTTATTTCTATTCAATGTGGAACTTGAACTCACACTTAAATACCCAATAGTGTACAAATATTATCTTATAATTTTTTTCTATTGGAACCCAGAAATGAACAAAATATCTCATATATCTAAAATCTCTTTGTTCTCTAAATATATCGATTTCATTCTTAAATTTAAAAAATTAAAAAAAAATAGATAATATATTTAAACTATCTTTTTATCCACTTTTATGAAACTTATTCAATGGCAGGTTTTACGCTTATTATATTCGGAGTTTATGAAAAAATTGAAAATATTTTCCCTAAAGAATTCGACTAAAAGATATTTAGATATAACGATGATTTAAAAAAAATATGAAGTATAAATTAGAAATTTTAGGGTGTAAAAAGAAAAAGCCTCTGATTTTTTTATTACATGTCTATTGGGTTGAATTAATCGTCTTACTTAAGTTATAAGGTCCTTCAATCGGGGTAGGTTCATTTTCACAACTACACCCACCCGAATGAATCTAATATTATTATTATAATATAATAACTCAAATCTTTTATAAATAATCATTATCAATACATTAATTAATAATTTTTTAAAATAAAATCTAAAAATTTAATTATTTTTTATTATATATCCAATATTATTACAAATACATTACACGAGCTATTAAAGACAAAACTATTATTCGCTTTTTTCTTTTTTTTGTTTTCATCACACATTTGTTCTGTTGTTCAAATCCATAATTGTTCTGTAGTCTTTCGTATTTAAGTTTTTATTATGCTTTCTTCTTCACTTTGTTTGTCCTCGTTCAACAATAAAAAATCATTAACACAAAACTGTTATTTAATATTAACATAAAATAACATGTGAAATTAGTAGTTAAAAAATAACAATCACTAACCTAGCTAAAAAATATTAAAAAGTGGAAACTCAATTGAAAAGTGAGAATTTTTTTAATACTTCATAAACTAAATTTTTTAATAAGAATTTAATTAAAATATTCAATTCTATCAAGGAATTTAAACTTAATTAAAGTAAATATTTTTCGAGTTAAATATATTTTTATTTCCTAAACTAATAAAATTGAAATCCATCCTTACCATAAACTTTATACATATTTTTCCGAAACTTTAAAATTTGAGGGATATAGTCATTTTCAATTAACAACATTAATATATTTTGGAATTTGTTAAATAATATTTTAGACTAAGTATTTAAGTGAAAATTTATCAAAAAGATATAAATAACTCAAATATAATTAAAAAAAAGAAAAATAAAATAATGTAATTGAATTGAAAGAACTATATTTATTTATTTTTGAAATTTAAAGACCAAAATGTATCAAGGTTTAACATAATAATAAATTTCAACTTATTGTCAAAGAGTAAAATCATATTTAATCTATATTTTTAATACATTGTTAAATAATATTCTCACAAGCAGACTATTTTTATGAATATTCAAAATAGTAAAGTTTAAAATATTATTTATACTGTAAGAATTAACTAGACAATATTGTCAAATAATTTGTTTGTACAAAACAGAGATACGATTTTCAATGTTTTTTCTGATAATTTAGCTGACGGTTCACTATCAAATTACTATATGTATTTTAAATAGTGTACTTTATATTTTTTATATGACATAATAAATATTCTTATAGATATTAACAAATATTTAAAATTACAAATTAGGTTGAAATAAAAATAACTAATAAATATTCTTGTGTTAGCAAGCATAAATTTTGGTTTTGTGGAAGAATTGGTTCGCCCAGCCCACTCTGCCATCATCCAACTCCCAACTAACCATCCAACTACCAATTGAGTGTTTCATCCTACACCTCCAAGATCTCATCCTGCACCTCCAAAAATTCCACTTTTAACCTTCTGACATTTTATCATTATCCTACACCTTTAACTTTATAGAATTTTTTTTTTAATTTTAATAAATATATTCTTATTTTTTTCTTTTTCTTATTAAAAAGATTCTATATCACCTTAATAATAACTAAATTTAAAATTCAAATATTATTTAATATAATTTTATATTTTAATAATTATTAAAATATGATTTATGTTATAATAATAATTATATTAAAAATATAAAAATAAAATAATTAAAAATAAAAATAATAACAAAAAAGTAAATTATATTAAATAAAATATTTAATATATTTAAATATATTAAATTATATTAAAATATTAAATTAAATTAAATAATTATTAAAATTTAAATAATAAACAAAATTTTAAAACAGTTATTTATCAAATAATAAATAAAATTATATTAAATAAAATATTTAAATATACTAAATTATATTAAAATATTAAATTAAATTAAATAATTATTAAAATTTATATATAAAATAAAATTTTAAAAACATTCTTTATCGGATATGGATATCCGATTTATAACTTATCGGATATCTATATCCGATTAACAAATTTTTCAAAATTTTGTTTTTTTAAAATTTTAATAATTATTAAATTTAATTTCATATTTTAATATAATTTAATATATTTAAATATATTAAATATGATTTTAAATATTGTTTTTATTTTTATTTTTATTCTTATTTTAGTTATTATATTATGATTTTTATTTAAGTTTAATATTTATTAAATTTTAAATAAAAAGCAAAGTATTAACATATTTTATATATTTTAATATATAAATAAACTTTTTAAAATTTTCATTTTTATTTAAAATTTAATAATTATTAAATTTAATTTAATATTTTAATATAATTTAATATATTTAAATATATTAAATATGATTTTAAATATTGTTTTTATTTTTATTTTTATTCTTATTTTAGTTATTATATTATGATTTTTATTTAAGTTTAATATTTATTAAATTTTAAATAAAAAGCAAAGTATTAACATATTTTATATATTTTAATATATAAATAAACTTTTTAAAATTTTCATTTTTATTTAAAATTTAATAATTATTAAATTTAATTTAATATTTTAATATAATTTAATATAAATTTATATTTTAATAATTATTAAAATATGATTGATATTATAATAATAATTATATTAAAAATATAAAAATAAAATAATTAAAAATAAAAATAATAACAAAAAAGTAAATTATATTAAATAAAATATTTAATATATTTAAATATATTAAATTATATTAAAATATTAAATTAAATTAAATAATTATTAAAATTTAAATAATAAACAAAATTTTAAAACAGTTATTTAACAAATAAAATTATATTAAATAAAATATTTAAATATACTAAATTATATTAAAATATTAAATTAAATTAAATAATTATTAAAATTTATATATAAAATAAAATTTTAAAAACATTCTTTATCGGATATGGATATCCGATTTATAACTTATCGGATATCTATATCCGATTAACAAATTTTTCAAAATTTTGTTTTTTTAAAATTTTAATAATTATTAAAATATGATTTATGTTATAATAATAATTATATTAAAAATATAAAAATAAAATAATTAAAAATAAAAATAATAACAAAAAAGTAAATTATATTAAATAAAATATTTAATATATTTAAATATATTAAATTATATTAAAATATTAAATTAAATTAAATAATTATTAAAATTTAAATAATAAACAAAATTTTAAAACAGTTATTTAACAAATAAAATTATATTAAATAAAATATTTAAATATACTAAATTATATTAAAATATTAAATTAAATTAAATAATTATTAAAATTTATATATAAAATAAAATTTTAAAAACATTCTTTATCGGATATGGATATCCGATTTATAACTTATCGGATATCTATATCCGATTAACAAATTTTTCAAAATTTTGTTTTTTTAAAATTTTAATAATTATTAAATTTAATTTAATATTTTAATATAATTTAATATATTTAAATATATTAAATATGATTTTAAGTATTGTTTTTATTTTTATTTTTATTCTTATTTTAGTTATTATTTTTTAATTTTTTTAATAGAACTATTTTAAAAATATAAATTATATTTTATTAATTATTAAAATATAAAAATATAATAAATAATATTATAATTTTTATTTAAGTTTAATATTTATTAAATTTTAAATAAAAATCAAAGTATTAACATATTTTATAGATTTTAATATATAAATAAGCTTTTTAAAATTTTTATTTTTATTTAAAATTTAATAATTATTTAATTTATTTTTAATATTTTATTATAATTTAATATATTTGAATATATTAATTCAAATTTATTTTATTATTATTTATTATTATTTATTATTATTATTACTATTTTTATTATTATTTTTATGTTTTTATTTTTATGTTTTTAATATAATTATTATTATAATATAAATTATATTTTAATAATTATTAAAATACAAAATTATTTTAAATAATATTTAAATTTTAAAATAAATTAAATTAAATGATTATTAAGGTAGTGAAGATTATTTTTAATAAAAAAGAAAAGAAAATGGAAAAATATTTATTAAAGTTAAAAATAAAGTTTTGAAAAAGTTGGAGGTGCAGGATGATGATGAGATGTCAGAAGGATAAAATTGGAATTTTTGGAGGTGCAGGATGAGATCTTGGAGGTGTAGGATGAAACACTCCTACCAATTTGTTTTCCCTTCTTAATACAGCCCAACTTCACTTTAAGAAAAAAAAAAGAAGGAGAAATATAATTATTTTAAAAGAAAATTTGTTTTTATAAATTAATATCAAGAAGTTAAATTTTCAAGAAATTAAAATAAATTTATATATAAAAACTAAAAATTAATAAGTAACACGTTTTCTAAATTTTTAACTTCATTTTTCTTGGTGAGAGTGGTTTGGAAGCAGTGATGAGAGCAAAGTCATTATTATGAGAACATAGGTTCATATTAGAATTAGATAGGAAACGCTATTGAACTCATCTCCTCTTCATTGCGGTGGCTGTGATGTCAGAGAACTACTCGTTGGAGTCGTTCACGGTGGAAGGCAGCGACGGAGTGAAGCTCCGTGCGAGGGTGTTCAAGCCAAGAACAGAAGGAAATGGCAATCTGGGGATCGTTTTGGTGCACCCATATTCCATTTTGGGTGGTTGCCAGGGTCTCCTCAGAGGAATCGCTTCTGGGTTGGCTCTCAATGGTTACACCTCTGCCACCTTTGACATGAGAGGTGTTGGCAAATCCACCGGCAGGCCTTCTCTCACTGGCTTCGCTGAAGTTAAGGATGTCGTTGCTGTCTGCAACTGGCTCTCCAACACTTTCTCTCTTCCCAGGATTCTGTTGGTTGGTTCTTCCGCAGGTATCGTTTCCCATCTCTCAGATCAGATCTGTCAAATTCATCGCCCTCCCCCCTTTTCAATTTTCTCGTGTCAATCTATTTCACGCGATCCGCTCTCTCGAGGAACACATCTTCCACCTACCACTAAATATGAGTGTGGAAAAAAGTTGCTTCCTTTAGTACATATTATCTTCTTTCTTTTTATAATCTCTGAACTGTTTGTTGTCTGCTTCAAGGGAAAAAACTCAGTAAAGGGTGTTGTTGCTTTAAGCAATTAAGTGGAAGTGCTTTTTATATCTTAATGTATCAATTGCGTGATGCATTAGCTCGTAGCTGTATGGATAAAATTTTGGGTATTGAAAGTTTTTGCTGTTTGTGTTTCGGATCTGTGATCTCAAAAGTTCAGTGGCAGCTTTATCTACTGAGGTTTCTAACCCTGTTGTAGGACTTGAAAAGGAAGTATGTTTTTGGTTCCTGGTTCAGATATAGACCCATTTCAGAAGATGCTTTCCATTTAAATTAAATGAGAAACTTAATAGGATACGTGCTTGAGTTTACATGAGCTGCTAAGTTAGACTTGTGCATGCTTCTTATCTGTGACAGTTTCCCCTGTCCATTTCACAAACTGCAGTAGGTGATGTAGTAATTCGCACCATGTAGCATGGCTGCATCTATGTTAAAGTCAGAAAGAATTGTCATATATTTAAGCTGTTTCTTTTACTACAGGTGCACCTATAGCAGGGTCTGCCGTTGATCAGATTGAAAAAGTCATTGGCTATGTTAGCATAGGTTACCCATTCGGAATGACTGCCTCAATCCTTTTTGGACGACACCACAAAGCCATCCTACAGTCCCCGAAACCAAAATTCTTCATTATGGGAACGCAAGATGGATTCACAAGCGTAAAGCAGCTGAGAAATAAGCTTAATTCTGCAGCAGGACGTGTTGAAACACATCTAATCGATGGTGTTGGTCACTTCCAAATGGAAGGGCCTGCTTATGACGCCGAGATGGTGGATCTCATCATTAAGTTTATTGCATCACTGTGAAGAAGACATATAAGTAATTGCTGAGTGTGAATTGCATCTCTATTGGGATTAATTTGTGTACATAATCTGACTTGTTAAATCTGCATATTAAACTCTTGATGTGTGCCCCCTGTTCCGCCTTCTAAATCAAAGGAATCCGATATAGACAGAATAAGCATAAAAAACCATGCTTTCATGATTTGTAATTTACATGTTACAGCTACATATCACCAATTTCTATAAAAGAAAAATAACATTTGTAGTGCACTGCTTAACATAAACGATAAGAAAAGAAAGTCACGATAATACACATAGCATGTTATGATAGCCATGCGGTGTTGCCAACATAGCTAAAATGGAACACTAGCTCGTCTTGGTAATTTATCGCCGTCTGACCCATCGAGGACTCTAACACCGCCTGGATTATGCTGTTGTTTCTTCCAGTGTTTTTTCTGATTCAAAAAGGGAGGTTCTCCATCTGGCTTAAGCAAGAGAGTTGAAGGAACATAAAGTACGAAAGACAATTGTGATCAATATTCTAAAATGGAATAAGTTAGTCAATAAGGAAATACAAAATACATGTGGGATTTCATCAAGAAAATTATATGCTAGCAAGAAAACAAAGAAAAGAACCCACGCGTTATTCACAGCCTTGTATTTTCTCATCATATAACTTGACCACTGTAGTGGCAAAAAAGTTCATAAAGAAAACCCCACTCCCCAACCCGTTTTGCTGGTCTACTAGCAATATCCAAAAATTAGGATAAAACAGAATGTGGTGAAAACTTTAATAATTATACATGAACAAATTTCTAGTTACTTAGTTATTACCACTTTCTTCGTCAGACACATCTCCGAGCCTGGCAATTGCATTAACAAGAGCCTCTTCATGTTCCTACATTTCAAAAGGAGAGCTATCATTATTGTAGCAATTAAAGATACACAAAATAAAGCTGGAACTAAGAAATTGCATGATACCCACTTTTAGCATGTTCTTTGCTTTCTCCATTTCAATGGGATCAGGAGGATTGGCAGTGAAAACCTTTTCAACCTGTTTTGGTTCCATTCCGATAGTTAATATTAAGGAGCCAAATATTTGTATCATACAGAGTAACCAAATCTAACTAACAAATTTGGAAATTTCTATTGCATGTGCTTATACCTCCTTGATAACTGCATCTGTATGGAGTATCCTAATATTATCTGTAGGATTTTTCCTGCTCGCATTTTGTGATGAAATCGAATCTTTCTTAGGCTGAACCTTTGTCATTCCCCTACCTCTTCCAGCACCAGCAACTCCACCATGAGACGCAGACTTCTTCAATCCTCTTCGCGGAGCAGGCTGGCCAACTTTACGAGACAGAGATATTTCAGGATCTTCACCCTCCCAACGAATGTCTTCTGGAGATATCTGCCATATTGAATAAATACTAGACAGTAACTAGGATTTCATCATTGATTGAGTTGATATTTAGCAACAACGACACACTCTTAATACTAAATGATAAAAATTAATTAATAGAAAAGTAGAGACAGGAAAATCCCTTACTATAATTGAAAATCTAATACATTTTTTGCACAAAAAATTAACAAAAAAAGTAATAAATAATGGATGCAATCAATAAATCAAGAGACCAAGCTTATTTATATTTCTTTGTGCCAAATTGTGACAGACTAAAAGCATTTTTTTTAACAAATGAAAATACAAGACTTCCATTTTTTTTGGTGTACACTGGTGGCAACGGGACCAACCTAAGTCTTCATGCATCTATTCCAATCCCCACGACCTAGTGGTGACCCTCATGAAAATAGAAGGATTTCGTTGTATTACAAAAAAAATCTCAACAGAACTGTATTCAAAGAAGTAACAATATTGTCAAGTTAGCATGTCTCGAGAACATGAGGCTAAAGATGAATCACAATATGTTATAAGTTACAACATCAAGCTTAGGATCCCAATACACAAAACTTTGGAGCGGAGGAGTGGCCTGATTTTTGTTTTTAAAAAATTACCCCACATATACTGGAAGTTCCATTTGTTTGCATCAATTAAAATACTTAGAAAGGAAATCATCAATGCCAATGCTGATCCATGATAGCATCCTACCCCGAAGGAATGAGATTATGAGACACATGATCAGCGTGGGAAATGTAGGACATGCGAAAACTATAAGTTTACTTGTCAAGAGAAAAATATTGCTTCCAAAGAAAAGAAAAAGGCAAGAGAAAGCTAGGTCTAAATGAATGGTATGCTATTATAATGAACATGAATTCATATTTATATTGCAACAATTTTACCTCCTTTAGATTGACCCACTCCCATGTTTCATTTGCTGAATTCATATCATAGACCAAAGCATGCCGTCCCTACAAAATATTTAAATATAAATATCAAAAAGTCTGTGCTCCTCAGTTTTTATAGTATGCTACAAACGCACCTCAGCAGCATTATAATCAGTTATAACAGCTTCATAGAAGTGGTTGTCTTCTGGCCACCTTGTCCAAACCTTCCTTCCAATACAAGGATCATAAGAAGCTCCTTCAACAGGTCCTTTAGCTGCAAAAGCACCAGAAGATTTCCCCTGATTAGTGACCTGGCTTCTGCTTGTAATTCCTGATGAAGGGAACTATATGGACTTCAGTGAAATGCACGAATCAATGTTTTTTTATTTTTTTCTTTTTTGAGAATGGGAAACAATGACCATAGAGGAAGTGTAACTCATTTTCTTGATATCATAAAACCAAAAGGCTTACTGTTTTTTGCTTTTTGGTCTGCGTTCCTGATGGAGTTCCATGCTTTAATGTGGATGATGATGGTTGCACAGGTCGACGCACTGTGGGAGATGGTGCACCCAAGGGTAATGACGCCATAGATTGAGATGCCTTCTGTTTCTTACGAGATGCCGAAACGGTAGGGCTGGTATTGCGGTTGTGAACTTGTTCAGCAGTATATACAGTTCCAGATTGGAGGCCATTTCCCTTTCTCCACTCCCTAACAGCACAACTGGTTACACCCCACATTGAAATGCACAGCAAACCACGGTTTGCTCGATGGTATACAGAAACTTCTCAGTAGAATATGACAAAATATAATATGACCTTATCCTGTGAATCATGTCATCAGAATTGACTCTTGATAGAAGTTCTCTGTGTTCTTCATCTGATACTCTCAGCTCCTTTCTAAGCTCTGTAATTAAACTTTCTTTTTCCTGAAGTACACAGGAACAACAAAAAAATCATCGTCAATACTATCCAACATACTTTATAGAATGACAAACCAATGAATCGAGACAAAATTACCCAAGTGACAGCGTCGGATTGAGCTTTAAAAGCCCGCAGGACAGAGGCGTATGCTTCTTGTTCAAGGTTATGGATTTGTGTTTCCAAGTCATTGTGTATCCTAGGAAATGAACCTGAGCCTATGATTGCTGATCTTCCATTTCCAGTTACAGTAGCATGATCTGGATATTGAAATCTATTTTTCCGTTGATGGGAAGGAGGAAGATCATCATCTGTTCCTGTTTCATATTATGAAAATTAATAAGCAAAATGTTCAGTCATGTCATCAGTCATCACACAATTGAAATGTTCACTCGTATCGTTCCGATATCTGAGAAAATTTATAATGGTAAAGCACATCATTATCACCATGTCCGCATTCAACATTGTGCACTATATTGTACTGGTACGTGTTTGTAAAAAAAATTATTGTCCTGTCTCCTTCTCAGTTGGAACAACTTTCTCCAACATTTGGATAATACGAAAATCACTATAAATGTGTTGGCTTGAAGGATTTAACATAAATGACACAAAATGGTCTTTTAAATGAAGAGTGGAGATCATAATCATTGCATTGCATGAGATGGAACTTGAGATTAGTATAAAGGGGGGAGAAAATAAAGCTATTCAGGTGTCCTACTGCTACTGAACACATGCATATATTGTTGTCAGTAACAACAATAATTCCTACATGTCAACTTAGCCATTCAAAATAAATAGACCAAAATTCTAATTGTCAAACAAAGGTCCAAACTCATTCTAGCCACTGTCTATCCTACAACTTCTTCTCCCATATAGCAAAGCAGCTGCAGTTATTCTGAATATTGAGTCAAACATATCAGATGAAATTCAAAAGTTGCAGTTTCAGATAACAAAGTTTTACCTTCCAAAAAGTAACATTGCTCAATCCAGTCCAATGTCATTATAGAAACACAACACAGGGTAAACAAAAACACAGGAAATAAAGGTAGGATAGGGTTTGGTGGCCACCTAGAAAAGACACAACACAACACACTCTACCTAAAAATAAAACCCTAGAGAAAAAAAACAAACTTTTGAATTAACCCACCACTGCTATCGGAGAGATCAAATTCCATACCGCGCCCCAAGCGACAGATTTATATAACCTATCAATTAACCTTCCGTCAAGCACGCGTTCCTCAATGCTGTTAACAATCGAAAAACAATAATTGGGAACAAAACGGTCCAATTCGTACTCCACTCAAAAATAATTTTGAATTCAGGAACAAAAGAAGTATTTTTGCTTCATCGATTTTCTTCCCCTAATTAATTTGTTAGTATAGAAAATTATACCTTTCATTTAAAAATTACTATTAATAGGATAGATTTTAAATAATTAACAGAAAGATTACATAATTATTTTGAAGTTAACAATAATTATACGACAATGGTATTAATAATGTTATAATGAGAATTGTGGTAGTAATTATAATTATAATTAATTGATATTAATGGTAATTGTCTCAAGTAATTCAAAAGAATTATTATGATATAATATCTGGAACATTGTAACATTGACAACAATTGTTACAAATTTAATATGTATAATCACAAAATGTTACTGATATTTGGAGATGATAACAAAATTCAATAGCAAATAACAACCATAACTATTCTGATGAAACAATTATAACTTTTAAAAATGTACGATAATTACATAAATATGGATGAATTAAATTAACTTTACCCGAGTTTGAGATTCAATTCGACGATTAACCTGTTTACCAAATAATTGAAGTTGAGTTAAAATTTAATCCGTTAAATAAACGAGCTTAATTTGAATCATGCACAGTTATGGTTGCATCAATTGGATTTATAGAGAGATTTCAATGCTTCTCTGTATTAGGACATTCATCAATAATGTAATTAAAATATTAACACTTATTATAATTAAAATATAAATAGCTAAAATTACATGTTTATGATAATTAAATAATACAATCGGTATATTTAAATTCGAAGTTATTATTGCCAACATGAAAACCCAAAAGCTTAGTTAAACTTATAAATAATTATAACGAAAGTATTAACTCATACTATGTTTTTATTTAACTATTTTTTATTTTCACTCTTTCATTTTATTTTATTGGTACGTGGACTCATGCTATTCACGAATGATAACCTTGCTTATTATTTTATGTATATGATAATATATAAAAGAAGGTTAACCTCCAAAAAAGAAAAAAATGGTTATATATAAAGAAAATAATTTTATTAAGGTTGTCTAAATATTTTTAAAAATAATTTTGTGATGTATTTGTAAGGTTGAATTGGTATACGTATAGTATACGTGTGGTGTGTGATGGAGAAGAAAAAAAGAGGAAAAATGTTAATTTGAATTGAAAAAAGGGTTAGGGATTTTGGGCACGGCATCGCATCCCATCCCATCACACCCTACCGGACCGAATGCGCGAGAACGGTTGACCCGAAACCATATCATATTCATATCATCAACACGCATATGGGAAGAGCGCTGTTACTCACCCACACCCACCTCTTCTCTCCCAAATCTCTGTTTCCGCTCTCTCTCCGCCACCGCCCCACCGCCACCGCCACCGCCACCGCCACCAAGAGGATTTTCCATTTCTGCCCTCCGCTTGCATGCCGCTCCATGGACGACCAGTCTTCTATCGACTCCGTCACCCAACGCCTCAGCAATCACAATCTCCATAGATTGAGCCTTCAAGATCTCAAATGGGACCATTCCTTCGTCAGAGAATTACCCGCCGATCCCCGCTCCGATTCCTTTCCCCGAGAGGTCTCTTCATCCTTCTCCTCCCTTTCCATTTCCGCATTTCCAATTCCTGATTTCTATGTTTCTCCTTTCAGGTCCTGCATGCTTGCTACACTAAAGTCTCGCCCTCTGCTCCGGTCGAAGACCCTCAACTTGTTGCCTTCTCCCAACCAGTTGCTGACCTACTCGATTTGGACTATAAAGAGTGAGTCGGTTACTTGCTTGCTCATTCATTCCTTCTGTGTTTATGTTTCTTAGCTATGTTGATCTTCAAATTTTCCATTCCATCGCAAACATACCTGCACTATATAGGACAAAATCTTTGCTCATAACACAGAGGCTGAACATCATAAACACTTTTAATTTCGGTTGTTACTTTACTTATGAGGATTGTATTTTGACAAAAACTTTTTTCACTCCGATTGGACTTCCTCGTTTTTTTTTTTCAGTCTCTTTTGTACGCAAAAGTCACGTGCTTTACTTGTGTACCGATTAACCATTCTTGTTATTTGAGTTTCAGATTTGAGAGGCCAGATTTCCCCCTTTTCTTCTCTGGAGCATCGCCTTTAGTTGGAGCGTGAGTGCTGTAACTATGTCTGTGGGTTTTTGAGACTGTCGATAATGCTACAAATGCGCGTGATTGTGATTGATCCCTCTTCTGTACAGGTTGCCTTACGCTCAGTGCTATGGAGGGCATCAATTTGGTATGTGGGCTGGGCAGTTGGGCGATGGTCGGGCAATTACGTTAGGGGAGATACTGAATTCAAAGTCTGAAAGGTGGGAACTGCAACTCAAAGGAGCTGGGAAGACTCCTTACAGTCGCTTTGCTGATGGACTTGCGGTGCTGCGCAGCAGCGTCAGGGAGTTCCTTTGCAGTGAAGCAATGCACCACCTTGGGATACCAACAACTCGTGCACTCTGTCTTGTGACCACTGGAAAGCTGGTCACTCGAGACATGTTCTACGAGTATGCTTGCTGAACTTTCACTAATGCCTTTACGGTATACTATTGTTAAAATGTCCCGAACTTGTTCTGATAATTTAGAATTCCAGCCTCTGTTTAATTAGATGATGACCAACTTGGCAAGTTCTAATTTTTGAAATTCCAAGGTTCAAATAATTAAGGGTAGAGTTAATCCTTTTTTCTCCTATACAACTTAAATATAATGAAAATATTGTGTATGTTAGCATTTTTGGTACTTCTTGACATTTTAGTGTCATATGCTATGCGTAGTGGTTGCTGAGAGCGGGGGGAGGGGAGTTTGTGGGAGTTCAAGATGAATTTTAGTTTTATGTGATGAATAACTGGAATTTTACTTTGGTTTACGGATTTGTATCTTGCACATTTTAAATTAATTACATGAATAAATTGTTGATATTGAACATGCAGTGGCAATCCAAAGGAAGAACCTGGTGCAATTGTTTGCAGGGTCGCCCAATCTTTCCTACGTTTTGGGTCATACCAAATACATGCCTCCAGAGGTGAGGAGGACCTTGGCCTTGTCCGTGTTTTGGCAGACTATACTATCAAGCACCACTTTCCTCATATTGAAAACATGAGTAAGAGTGAAGGCTTATCTTTCTCCACTGGTGATGAAGATCATTCTGTTGTAGACCTTACTTCAAACAAGTATGCAGGTATTATTTATTTTTTTGGTAAAATTAATGGTGACTTTTTTTTTACCTTGAGATTTATAATGAAGGAAGCATGGTTATTCAGTTTGAAGTTTGATCTGAATAAACACTTTTGAGTGGTTATTTTGTAGTTTGCTTAAATTGCATGCACCAGGTAATTGTGAGCATAAGCTAGGTTATGTATACTGGCTTCTGCAATGTAAACAGAAAATTGACAAAATTATGGAAAAAATCAGAAGACTTTGTTTAAATGACCTTATTATGGTGAAATAATTCCTTCTTTTTTTTCTGTTGTCAGTTTCTTGGGAGCTTTAAAAAAATCCCAAAAAAGAAAGACGTTACCTAACATGGGCCGAATCCCTTTCATAGATTAGTTCCTGAGTTTCAGAACCTAATATATTACTAAAATAACCATACGAGTTGAAACATGATGCTAGTTAAATAAGTTAACTCTGCCTGCCAACGTACTAAACGTAATAATTCCATATTTTAAGGCAACGAGATGTTACAGTTTAACCCAACATCCACACTAGTGAATTTTTTGAATCAAGTTAAGCTCATCTCTTCTGGATTATACTGCTGTCTTCATCATATTTTCATATGAAACTTGAATGCTGACTATGTATCCCTTCTATTTAATGGTGTTTTTTGGTCAGCATGGGTGGTGGAGGTTGCTGAGCGTACTGCTTCCTTGATTGCTAGATGGCAGGGGGTTGGTTTCACTCATGGTGTGCTGAACACAGATAATATGAGTATTTTGGGTCTTACGATAGATTATGGCCCATTTGGATTTTTGGATGCTTTTGATCCTAAATTTACCCCAAATACTACAGATCTTCCAGGTCGAAGATACTGTTTTGCAAACCAGCCTGACATTGGTTTGTGGAATATTGCACAGTTCACAACAACACTACAAGCTGCTCATTTAATAGATGAAAAAGAGGCTAACTATGCTATGGAAAGGTAGTAGTAACACTTATGCTATCCTTTTTTTTAACTTCAGAGGAGAAAATAGGATTGAAATTACCTTCGAATATTTCACCTGATTGCTGTTTTGTTTCAGATATGGAACAAGATTTATGGATGATTATCAGGTTATAATGACAAAAAAGCTTGGCCTTCCCAAGTATAATAAGCAGCTGATTAATAAACTTCTTACCAATATGGCTGTTGACAAAGTCGATTACACAAACTTCTTCCGAACACTTTCAAATATTAAAGCAGACACAAACATTCCAGATGAAGAGCTGTTAGTCCCACTAAAGTCAGTACTGTTAGATATTGGTAAAGAGCGTAAGGAAGCATGGACCAGTTGGTTGAAAACATATATACACGAGGTACGGTTATTTCATATCTTTTCTTTTGGTTAAGATCCACCTGTAGTAAAAGAAAAAAGGTATGTTGACTGATTTTGAGCGTTGATTGTGTCTTTTCTTCTCTTTATCTCTGGGTTTGCATTTGCAGAACCATCCCCGTTTGTTCTTTGATTTCTTTTCTCATGCCCAAAAGATCTAGTTTGTTCCACTTGCATCACATAAATTGACTTTTACATTACTTACCCTGTCTAGCACATTTAAAAGTTTCAAGTGACAGAATCTTGGATCGATAGAGGTGAAATTCATGGTCCATTTATCTTTATTAGCTACCTATTTTGCAACCTTTTCCATTCAGATTTCAGAAGAACGAGCAACGACTGAGTTAATAGTTGACTTGCATATTATTGGGCTTTTGCAAGATATGTTGTGGTTTTGTCACCTAACATGATTACTTGTGGTATCGCAGCTGTCTACCAGTGGCATTTCGGATGATGAAAGGAAGACATCGATGGATGGGGTGAATCCTAAATATATACTAAGGAACTATCTCTGTCAGACTGCTATTGATGCTGCAGAAACGG